CTCTACAAGTGGTTGCTTAAATTATGATGCAATATTCAAGAACTCCTTACGTCCTTTATTATGCAAACATTAGTCAATCTTCCCATATGGTAATCATATTTGTATATTGTTTAATAATGCCTGCATAAACAAAATGACTTCCCATGCAAGGTTCTCAACCAAATAGCTTAAAGTTGTGATTTCTTTTATGCATTGAGTATTCATACTTCAATTGAGAAATGCAAAAAAGGATTATCAGGCAGATCCGTGATAGTATCAGAAACAAAGGGTTAGAAATATTTCGAAACATTGGATGAGATTTCTGATACCCTTGATGTTATTCTGTAGGAAAAGACATCATACCAAGAGGCTGGATCATCATAAATCAAGAAACTTTGACAGCAGAAAGCCAACAAAACAATAATAGTGACAAAAGCACTATACACCAGCAACCACAATAAATGGTTGTTGGTTTTCTTAGACCACCATACCGGGTTGTAAGCTTCAAAGCTCTAAATAGTGCCACAGATAATGCTGCAAGCTGCCAAACAAAAAAAAAAAAAGAAGAAGAAGAAGAAGAAGAAGAAGAAGAAGACCCATCAACCTTTACACCTTAGAACGTTGACTAGTACTATTAGATTGCATCCTTCCAAAAAAAAAAAAAAGAAAGCAAAAAAAACAATATGAACTGCATTGTGTTCTAAAGGCTTTGCATATGATTAAATGACCCAGATAATAATTACATAAAACCATAAGAGGTCACCTAAAATTATGGCCATATTAAGAAAACCTCTCCAGATTTAGAAGTTTTGATTTGGACGCTAAAATTATTGAAATGTTCTATTTGAACCCTATTTGTTTGTTTCAGGTAATTTTCCACCCCTGTTGTATCTTTACGTGTCTGAAAAAAATATCATTTTGTCAATTTGCAGTTATCTTCTGGATGAAAAATGATAGAAATAAACAGATGGAGTCCAAACCAAAAACTCTAATGTTTGGTATGTAAGTCATCCCAAGGTTTGATATTTTCCACCAGAAAGTAACCACAAAAATGAAGATTAATCCTCCATGAAGAAAATTTTCTCATAAAAGCAACAAATTTACAACCAAAGCAAGTAAATAATATGACCTGTCAACCTTTACACCTTAGAATGTTGACTAGTACTATTAGATTGCATCCTTCCAAAAAGAAAAGAAAGGAAAAAAAACCAATATGAACTGCATTGTGTTCTAAAGGCTTCGCATATGATTAAATGACCCAGATAATAATTACATAAAACCATAAGAGGTCACCTTAAATTATGGCCATATTAAGACCTCTACAAATTTAGAAGTTTTGATTTGCACACTAAAATTATTGAAATGTTCTATTTGAACCATTTTTGTTTGTTTCAGGTAATTTTCCACCCCTGTTGTATCTTTACGTATCTGAAAAAATATCATTTTGTCAATTTGCAGTTATCTTTTGGATGAAAAATGATAGAAATAAACAGAAGGGGCCCAAACCAAAAACTTTGATTGTTTGGTATGTAAGTCATCCAAAGGCTTGATATTTTCCACCAGAAAGTAACCACAAAAATGAAGATTAATCCTAGAAAAATTTCTCATAAAAGTAACAAATTTACAACCAATGCAAGTAAATAAATAGGGGCAAATCCAGAATCTTGAAGCAGAACCCAGTTCAAGAGATCAGGATACTACCTCCTCTAGAGTCCCTTCACGAGTTCCAAGAGCACATGCCAAAGCTGAATGTAACGATTTCTTTTCACTGGATGAACTTACAACACGAAAGTTATTATGAAACTGCAAGTTTTACACAACAGAGTCAAACAAGATATAGCAAGTAACTAGTAATACATCAAGAAACTATAACCCAAGAAAGCAGTTCTGATTCCTATGGAAGAATATATATGAAATATAAACTTACCCAATGAACAAGAGGAGACAAGGCCTTAGCATGAAGTTTTGAGTCCCCTGATATATCCAACAAATGCATCGGTAGAATAGAAAGTAAAGAGGCCTGTCATTATAACAGATTATCCCAGATGCAAGAAAAGAACGTGAAAACCAATAGGCTAGTAATGCACACAGTCTTAACAAACAGACTAAGCTATGGAAGTCAAAATCAATCACAAATACCCAAAGAATCTAGAAGTCGTGACTAGAGATGGAAAACCCTGAGAAGGCCCCCATCAAGTCGAATATGATATTATTTCAAAAATCCTAAGTTTCGAAAATGATAATGAAAGTTATGATGTTTAAAGGTTTGAGATTGCCGTACTTCACCTCGAATTTGTGAGAATTTATATTGTGCATGATCGAGAATATTCTATTATTATTGAGGAGACTGTAAAACTCCTCACATTTCAACTAAAAGTTATTGTAGCTGACCTGAATGAGAGGATCATCACAAGCCCGATCAATTATTCTGCCCCTTGCAAGTAAACAAAGTAGGTGAACCTTATGCACAAGCTCAGCCAATCCCTGAGGTTGAAAATGCAGTATTTTTCATTCATTAACAAGCTGCACAAAATATTGCATGTCCAGTGCCAGTGAAAGTAGTTCACTTCACCTTCTCTTCAGCAGTAGCTCGACGAATGGGCTTCCGTTTAGCAGAGTCAGGTGACTCACTGAATTCAATAGTAACCTCCCTAATGTCATCAACTGGATGATTCTTTATAGGATCCAGTATGGGATCAGAACCATCTTCCCAATCTATGTCATCCATCTCTTGATCACTGTCCTGAAAATTACTCTTAAAACTTCCCCCTTCAGCTTCGCTAGTTTCATTTGCTGCAGGATCTCGAGTAAAACTTCGAGCATCCAAGTCATTCCATGTAACTTTTGCATCTACAGCTTGTTTGCCATTACTTTTTGTCCTACACTCAGGCTGAAGATAAAAAAAATGAGAGAAATAGGACAAAGACGGCCAAAAAAAAAAAGTTAGTTGTGGTTGATAATGACAGTGAAACAGCATTCATATAATTTATGCTTTCTTTTTCAAGAAAAAAGAATAGCAGTACCAAAAACTTTGAAATTCATCATTAATCCTACACTATGCAAACAGTAAATCAACCACTCAAATCCCTAAGAAAGAAAATTCACTAAATCATGAAAACTTAATAGGCTAAATCTTCTCTAGCATATAACAGCAAAAGGGATTCTCACTAGAGAATACAAACAGCATCTTTATGCTAAATAAACTAACCGTGGAAATAGAAGCACATTGCAGCCGATTATCTTGCTTATTCTTCCCTGATAATCCCCGGCGCTTCGCCCGTTTTACAAGCTTATCCACTGCCTCATTTGACATGTCAGCAAGACTTTCACTATCCACATCACGTATAGCACTCAACGTACTCTCCTTCCCTGCCAAAACAAAAAAGGCATAAATAAATAAGTCTAAATTAAAAAGAATGGTACAAGTCGTTGCACTGCAGTTTTATATCATAAAAAATCACTACTCTTAGCGCATCCCAACTCAACATTCTCAATAAAATTCAACTTATAGCACCTAAAACAAGTAAAGATTCAATCTTTTTACTTGATAAAATGCGTTGTTTTCAATAAAATTAAATTTGGAGCCACTAAAGTTTCAAACTTTACATCACAAAATGAAAACAAACAAAAACCCGTGTCTCAATTTTTCTCTGATACCGAAAATTCCTATCAAGAAACGAAAAATTCAAACGAAAAACAAATACCCATCAAAACCCTCAAAGGAAATTCATTCAACGAGACACGGGAAAAAAAAGAACTTTAAGGAAATCAAAGCACCCATTTGTTTCATTGTAAAAGTTAATGTTATTGTGAGAGACAAGAGTGAAATGACAGTACCTGAAGATTGTTTGTTGCTGCTTCTTGTACGCATTTTGTTTTTTGTTGTTGTTGTCTGTGAGAGATTTTCTCAAAGCAAAAATAAAGGGTCGCGCGTAAAACTGTTGGGGAGGTTTTTTTTGCAACTGGAGTTATATGGTGGGTGCGCATGTACTAAGAGAGTCGTGCAGACGCACAGCGAGAGGTTCTGTTTAAAATTTAAATGGTTGAACAGAACTCAATCAGTCAATAGTGGGGATTTTTTTTGGTAAACTGCGTTTTTGCCCTTATAGTTTCATCAAAGTTTCACTTCTACCCCTTAATTTTAAAAGTTTCTAATACTACCTATGTAATTTTTAAAAAGTTTTAATTTTATTCTTAGAGCAAGCGACTAAGTAGCATAATCTTCCTTTTTTTGGTAATATTGTTATCTAATATTATTATCAAACCCGACCGGACTTGGCGATTGACTTGAAAAACCAATAATTCGAGATCCAACCAGAACTAAATTTATAATTAGACCAGTTAGGACATTGATCTGAACAAATCTAGCCAACTTGATCAAAATCAAATTAAATCCTATTAAAAAAAAAGACTTTGAAAATAAAAAATAAAAAGCCAAATTGTTTTGAATAGGATTTGAACATTAGTCTTTTTTTTTTTTTTTTTTTTGTCAACAAACCAACACTAACACACACTATATAATTTAGATTTAAATATTATATATTATCATCATTGACCAACGAGATCAAGGCCAAGCGGTTAAAGCCTTTTTTCTTAAAATGCAGTAATCCAATACGGGAATTGTCAATCATCCATGCATTTGTTCAACCTTGCTTTTTCGATAAAGTTAAAGCCTTGCTCACATTTTTTACTGGATGTGATACAATAGATGCTACATAATTGGTTAATTCAGCTGGCCCAACTAACCTGATTGTTTCAATCTGAATTAATCTAGTGTGGTATGAAAGAAATTTTTGTTAAGATGATTAGCAAATGGTTAGGGTTATGGACTTGACTCACGAGAAACATTCACTCTGCCACTCACTCAAAAGTGCAAACCAATCCAAAACCCTCTTGAAATCAGAAACTGAAGAGAACATCACAACACAGAATTCTGGTTCACAACCAAGCATGTTATACTGGCATACAAAGCCCTAGCAAATATAGCATAAAGAAACATGGAGAATTCGCTCTAAGAAACTTCATCTCCTTTTAACTAAACCCATACTCCCTACCACAGGCACATCAACTGGAGTTGTTTCATTGGCCAGCTTAACGAATCCCATGAAGTTAGCCTGGATCATATCATTTATCCTTCCGTTGCCATTCGATGAAGCATCACGTCTCTCTTGACCCCCTTCTCCTAGCTTCAAGATGTCACTTGCCGAGCTTGATAATTGAGAGGGAACATTAAAATCATTAAGATCTATCAATTCCTTCAACTGATCAGCAAACGTCTGTGACTTGCCTACCACACAACTATTTATATCAGCATCCATCAAGGATACGAAATGCTTGTTTGAAACCCTAGGTCCTACAGTGTTAATCCTGAACATGAGTGAAAGATGAGATAGGATCAGCCATAAGAGCCTCTTTGAAAGCATGTAAAGCCTAGAACTAGCAACTGCGTTTCTGGCGTCGAAGCAACTCATCGGTATTAGACTCGCCAGATTGATTTGGCAATGCTTCCATGTCTTGGGGCTGATGCCTTCCTGTCTGCAAAATTGGGTTAGAAAAGGTGTCCAAGTAGATTGATCTTGTGGAATGCAATATGAACATTAGTAACTACTTACATGGGGAATAACATAAGGCCGAACTGTAATCCCAATAACTATGCCAAGCAAACATGAAAGCGCCAGTCCAAGGACCCAAAATTTAACTGCTCCGAGCGCTGTACATTTTGAAAACGATAAGCCTTGTTTTCAGTTCAAGAAAAATCAGGCCTACCATCCAAATTCATAATACAGTTTCCATTCAGCACTACAAGTACCTAAAGTAAGAGATGGTAAAATGTTTGAGATTCTCACCAGAATGAGAACCTTTTACACAATCCTCTGGTTTAAGATCAATCTGGCGAAGCAGTTGATTGCCATGATCTGAGATGAGTAAAGCGCATATTTGAGGAACAAAAAGCACCTCAAAATCACTGGAGAATGTTGCAGTTTTCCCTGGACCATCCTGCCGACCTTTCTGGGAGTAATTACCAACGATGGTGGAGGTCACACCTAAAAAAACAGAAAAAGAAAACAAGTGCCTGTAATTTACTTTTCTTCCAATATACAAGCAAAGATAATCCAAATTTGATGTAAATATATGCAATTACAAGCACCTGAGTTGCTTATCTTTCTCACTGCATGGTTTAGTTGATCAGCCACATAAACATTCCCTCTAAGATCAACTGCAAAACTCTTTGGTTTATTGAACTGAGCCAAACCCGGTTCTCCATCTGCGTACCCTTTTTCCCCCTTTCCAGATAACCGTTTAACCACCACACTCTCTGCAGTTTTGGTATTAAAATTAATCGAGTTAATGAATCAGGTGCTAACAGCAACAAATTTTATGAATCCACTGATTTGGTAAGAAAGCAATTCAATTCAATTATAAAGTCTAAATCTTGTGTTTTGAAAGAAAAGTAAAACATCAGACAGTAAATCCAACCTCAACGTGTCATGTTTCTCCATAAATATAATTAACATTCAAGTTTTAACCTCTGCAATGATGGACGCTACCATAATAAGGTTGCACCCACGTTTTATTTTGCAAATCACAAATTTTGCCCATGACATTAACCACTACAAATCCAAAAAAAAAAAAAATGACAAAAAGGCAAACCGTGCTTCAATGTAAAGGGAAAAAAAAAAAAAAAAAAAAAAAAAAAAAACAAGATGACCCAATAGACACAAAAAAATTTCATGAAACAACACGAACAGAAACAACAGCAGGAGTTGAATTACATTCATTCAACTTTTTTGAATTTTTTGCTTCTGATTCCAAATCAATCTATCCCCTTACACGATTTTGTCGCACAAATCATTACACGAAATTGTGCCCGCCATTGATCTTGTTAGGCCCACGAATTCATTTCAAGTCAATTTTACTAACACGACCCAACTCAACACCTTTGGTTCCAAACAAGCAATAAACTTTTTAAAAATTCCACATATATAATTCAAAACTTCAAAAAAGAAATGAACTTTACCACTAGCATGAAATGAAATTGATTACCCTGAGAAATGGGAAATGGTAGAGTGTAAAAAACACTCTGAGAAGAATCGAGGACAACAAGATCAGATGATCTGAGTTGAACTGCATGAGGGTTTATCTTTAGTTTGTGTCCATCCATCACTGTAGTTACCATGTACCCATCTTCTAACATGATCCGCTCCCCAGTCACTGAAACATAGTACACTGTATTAGAACTTTCTTTATAAACAAAATGAAAATAAAAACCCACATGACAGAAATGAAAATTTACCATGAATTGCAGCTAGGTTGAACAAGAAGACGATGAGAAAAGAGAAATGATAAGCCATGGGGACTGGGGAGATTTTGATCGTCTTTTTGGTGAAGTAGTGGAGAGTCCTTCCAGGTGAAGTAGTCATGACTCTTTATGGTCTTTTATAACCCAAGAGAAAGGTGAAGTTGCGTATAATGGACAGGGATCAAAATATTAGGCAAGCCCCACATAGACACAAGGATAGAAATTCGTCGGATAAACAACATATATCCGCTTTATCGGATATAATAAATATTAATTTAAAAAAAATTAGGTAATCTCTATCCATCATGATTTTAGTATCTGTTTGATAAAATTCAATAAATATTTATTAAAATTAAAATAATAAAACAAGTAAAAATAAAATTATTAAACGATCTCGGTCTATTAAGATTTTAGTATAAATGAGTATTTTTTATTATTATTTTAATTAAACAGTTTTTTAATTGGTATATCAATTAAAAAACTAGGTTTTTTCCTTTTTCTTTTTGCAAGATATTAAAGGCCTAGCTCTTAAATTTTAGGATAGCAAATGTAATTTATTTTTTTATTTTTCTCAAATAATCTTATCTTACATTAAAAAATAACACTAATTCTGTTCGAAACGAATTTATTTATTTATTTTATTAGTAATTATTGTAAGCAATAAAATGGTCTCCTCCATCAAAGGACAGAAACCCAATTAATTGAAGCTGAAGGATCACATTGCTCGTACCCGACCAAAAATATAGCCACAAATAGGGCATTTGCTCTTCCTATCTTCTTGCTCACTCGTTCTCCCTACTTCAAAACCTGCTCTGGATAACGTTTTAGCAACTAAGAAGCAAACAAATTTGCCATTTTCCATCAGTTTCTAGTCTCAACTCAGTTTAGCCAACTAATGAAGCAATGATGAAATCGACCCCTCATCCTTTATCTTGTCTTCTCATTCAAACCCTAACCTTTTGATGCATAAGGGCTCAGATGGTGTTATAGAAGTTGACAGAAATTAAAGATGGCATTAAGACCATTAATCTTACTGCAAAATGCATCCCACTATTCTCCAACATTCACTTGCTGCCTAAACCCTGCCTTTCAGTCAAAGGAGATGCCCCAAAAGGTCCTGAGGTCTAATATAAGTAGAAGAATGGGAGCAATAGCAGGAGTGGCATCGATTGTATTGGTAAAGGAAGCAATATTGAGTCGAGATATTGCAGATGGACTGGAGTTCAAGTTCGCAACTCCTGATGAAAGATCAGTGGAAGAAGCTGAGAGTGGAGTCAGAGACTATGCACAATACTTGTTACGACTAAAAGATTTGTTAGATTCAGAATCTTGGAAAGAAGCACAAAAGGTGCTTAGAAGGCGCTCTTCGAACTTGAAGCTGGATCTTTATGCTGTAATTCAAAGCAGACCTGGAAAGGAAAGGCCACAACTGAGGACACTGTATTCCAATCTCTTCAACAATGTAACCAAAGTAAGTACCGCTAACGTTATCTTTTCGTGTATTGAGGATTTTCTCTAGAATGATTTTTGTATTAGATATCGATGAACTTAACGGTGACACTTGGTTTGTTCAGCTGAACTCCTTCACTAGGGATTACTATTTTTCTTTTTCTTTTTTCCCTATATTGTTAGCCACAAACATCCAATGACTATTAATAACACCAAGGGGTCCATTCTCTCCCTTAATTTTACGAATTTGAACTTTAAAATAAGCATTCTGAGAATTTATTTTCATAAATACACCAGATTGTCCAGCAAAAGGGGTTTAGCTTCGATAAACATACAAGCTAGTCCAAGATTGTCTGAGGAAAAAAATTTCTTGTGTTCATTGTCTTAGGTTGTCATTGATGCAATCATGCAAATCTCTTTAATCGTGATTTTCATGTCTTACTGATACTTGTTATGATTGGAGCTAACAGTGTTACATTTTAATGGAAATTTTGCAGCTAGACTATGCAATAAGGGACAGGGATGTCTCACTTTTGTGGCAATGCTACGAAAATATTGTTGCAGTTTATGATGATCTTTTGTCGACAATTTGATCACCAAATGGTGCTTGAATACTTCTCTTTTGGTTACAGAAGCTTGAGGTCGTATAGGTCACCTGATGACCAGAACTTGGTGCATGACGTCTGTAGTCCTTTTCATTTGAGATGGATAAAAAGTTGGAGCCTTGTTTAGTTCATGGCTTCATTTGCTGATTTGCAACTACCGTTCAGCCAAAACTAGTTAAGGATACTGCCGTAGAAAAACCATGAGACATCAGCAGACCAGGAACTCAGAAAACATTCACTTCTCCTAGTTTGGTTTAGATTTTCAGGAGTCTATTGAATTTTTTATTGGCGACACAAACCAGAGCAATAACATTTCCAGGGAACCTAGATGGATATTTGAATAACATCTGTTGCAACTGAAAGCTCCTTTTGTAAATCAATGATCCTATAGAAAGCTGAAGCAGAAGTTCAATCTAAAAACGAAAGATGTCCATGAGAGAGAGAGAGAGAGATTGATTAACAAAAAGTAGCAATGGTATTCTGCAAATTGTTTATTTTACAACACTTTCACGACCTTTTCGAAATTTTAAAGTGAAACTGTGTCCTATCTGCCAAAAAGTCAAGAAGGGGAGATTATACAAAAATTTTGACACTTCCAGAATACCACTTGAAGAAATTCTAGAAGGAAATTGCCCCCATTGCCTGTATGGAAAATCCACCGATTTGTCTATCCCTGGAAAGCATCGTTGTCCAAGAATGATGAGATTGTGGTCAGCCAGACATCCCAGGGAAGAGCTCTGATATTTTGTTGAAGACATCCATAACCTGCAATGAGAGAGCAAGCACCCCACATTCTCGTGTTCAGATATTTAAGTGATCTATTGAATTGGTGTAACTTTAACCCTATAAGACCGAAGCATTTCTTTGAGAAACAAATGAATAAGCACTGTGAAGGAAAGCAAGAACACAGCTAAAGCATGTAACCAGTAGAATAATGGCGTAACAGCAGTAACAAACAATTTCCAATGATTGATGAAACATGTTGAGATCAGAAAAGATAGGCTATACCTCCTTGTCATTCTGATATTTGGAAATGCTAAGTGGGTTCTGGGAACACTGCAAAATGGACAAAATATTACAGATGTGATTTCTAGGTGTAATAAAATTAATTATATGTCAGTTGTTGCATACCTCCATAATGGCTTGTTGAACTCTTGGATTTTGAAATGCCTGAGCAACATCAGGATTGGCCATGATTTTTGAGATTACTTCTTCAGGTGTAAGGCCAATTTGATCTGCAAAACATAAATGACAGGAGAACAAAGATGATAAGGAGAGGTAAAAAAAAAAAAAAAGCTGATTTCTAATTAAAGGTATCAAATATAAAATAGAATCAGCAAATAAAAGTGAAACAGATTCCAAGTACATCCAGAATAAATTCTGCAGTTTTGGAAAAGCTGGATCCTGATCATAGGAGGATTTATAAATCCTTGGTACCTTAACCATTGACTGGCCAACCACAGGCACTCCCAGAAATCATAACCCTGATATTTTACCAGAGCACAAAAACTTCATGCTAATAAAACCAAAGCTCTTGTTAATCATGATAGGAAATTCTTTCAGAATTATTTAGTTATACCTAATCAACGCATTTCGTTACGTGATGGCAAATCAATCTGATTAAAACGCAGTGTTAAATACAAATTTGGAGGCAATCTGTTGCAGCCACTGAAATGAGCGATCAAGTTCAGGACAATACCAGCAATTCATTTCAAGCTTGAGTAAAGAAAGAGAAAATACAAAGATGAGGAGAAAAAAGAAAATGAAAAAAAGAGTGATAAAACTCCTGGAAAAAGGTTATGGTATCATTTATGAAATTATTGAAGAACATCAAAATTCAATATATCTCTTCATGAACGGATCAAGCTAAGAGAACATGTAGAGGCCAAATTGAGCAGATTAAGCCTATATATTTTAATAGAACAAAACCAAAAAAACTTTTAACAGCCAAGTTTAGAAAGTCCCTCAGAAAAAAAAAAAAAAAGGAAGGAAGCAAGAAGGCAAGCAATAAAACCATGTTCTCAAATTATAATCATGAACATTTGGAAGATGAAACATTAACAGAAACAATGAATGCCAAACTCACCAAACTGCTGCTTAACCTCAGGACTGCTGAGATCAAAATTTTTCAAATTATCCATCATCCGGCTGTCCCATTCACCACTCCCACCCATATTATTTCTGAAGAAAAGAAGGACAGCAAATGAATTTAAATCCATCAAAAACTGTCTAATCATTGGGCTATGCTTATGATAAAACTTATCAGCAGAAAAGCAACCTGCTGAACCTTAAGGGAAAAAAAAAGAAAAGAAAAGAAAAAACATTATTATAACAAAACATCAAATACAACTGGAAAAACGACTTCACGCAAACTTTTAGCACATATCTGATGTGAAGGAACTACATGCAAAACTTTTCCTGATATCGGAGCATAAAGAAAATGGATTTAAAAGATCATTCAGAAACCTAATTGTCCATAAGTAGACATCCCCAATCCCAATAGATTTGAAATATCAGTGAGAAAAAAATAGATATTAGCATAATAGCATCTCATTAGGCGATTAAACAATTACAGCTATTGAAAACTTGCAGTAAGAAAAGAAGCGTCATCAACCATAGTCAAGAGATTTCCTAAGCACACCATCCTTTCAAGTACTAGGAAAGAATCAAAACAAAAGGCTCAAATGTCATCAAGGTCAAACATGCAGTCAACATTGAGCATCATCAAACCAAATTAACTGCATAAGAGCTGGAACAAGAGCTTACAGCATGTCTTCCAGTTGTTTACGGTATTGTGGATTTTGCAGCATCCCTATTACATAATGCACAGAACAAAAAACCATAATGTGTCAATCGATGTACACACTAAATCTAGAGTTGCTAAATTTTTAATGAAGTTTGCATTTGGATAGGATAAATAAACCCAAACTATTGGCTGAAGCAACAAAAGTAATAGCAAAATAGCATTCCAAGTGAACTGTGGTAGTGAGACATTATTTCCGCAAGGTCCCCCTCCCCCAGCCCAAAAAAACATGCAAGCATCTGAACTGAAAAGATATTACATTCGACATGATTGACCTGATAATGTTGGAAACTCATATCCACAAAGAAGGGAAAAGCAATAGACTTGAATTCCCACTACCTACACAAATTGTGGACTGCATATTTAAGCATTCACTTAAACTCTGATGATTTTGATAACCATGTCAAACAACAAAAAATATGGTCTCTAATGCATCATATTTACAAGATTTCACAAATACTACAACCAAAGTAAGCCTTAAGAAAATATACATAAATGAAGGTTTGACTTACATTTGAAGGTGGTAGGGTTCCTCATCTCCTCGGGTAAATACCTGCAAGGATATGAGAAGAATTAAACTGTTAAGAGAAAACATAAAACAGGACATCTAATTCTACAGAGCAACTGACCATATGTAAGTCAGACAAACAAAAAAGGAAGTAAGCCCACCATACGCTTATATGAAAGAAGAACAAGAGAACTAATTCGGTCACTGAAGTTTGTTGCAAATAAAGAAATAAAAGGAAAATTGAACAGCAGCACAATGAAATAATACACCTAGAAAAGCACAAAATGATTTGATTTGAGGAAACGAAGCTATATTACGGATAAACCATCTTTTGCACTGTTGGATCATCCATCATTTTCTCCAAAGCTTCCACCGATAAGAAAGATTCTGCTTTTCCTGTCCATGAATAAATTTAAACTCAAAAGGCCTTATTTTTAATATCAGAGAATACCAAATAGGAATTAAGGCCATAAATAGCAATCAAGCATACAATCTCAAGTGGGGAAAGTGAAAGGCAACCGGACATCAAATTAGCATGTGCTACCCAGTTCCCACCTGAAATCAACCTTAAACTACAACTTCCAACAGTCCTGAAAGCAAAAGTGCTTCATTTAGATCACTTATCAAAAAGAGTGTGCCATAATGAGCTGATACAATTGGATCTGAATGGATGATTCCCTCACAACTAATTGGATCCAGCCACAAAGAGCAGAGGCACGTATACACATGCACAAAACACCACCATGGTAATGCAAGGAGTTAAATGATATGCAACTGAAAATCATCAATGCAATAAAAACGAGCAATGAAAGTCCTCAGAGGCTAATCTTGAATAGCTACACTACATGTTCAAAAAAGCTTAAAAAGCCTAACAACACCAACTGAATTTTTTTACCAAGTGCATGTTTCCTTTTAAAAATGGAAATTGATCATTGCATCATTGCATCATTTCTAATTTTTGTATCTTCTGCTGGTTTAATCTCCAGCGTACTCTCGTATTTTCTTCTAACAAACATTTCTGAAGATCCTATAGAAGAACCAGAATACCAAAACACTGCTAGATATTACAGTCAGCTTCATAAAAGTCCATGAACTCCTAGTTTCATGATTAGAAACAAAAGTAACTAAGGGCACACAAAACCAACAAGTGTGAACTATAATAATAGAGGTTCATGCATAGTTTTATTTGACTTTTTACTTACCAGTAGATTGAGAACCCTCGGAAGCACCTGGGCCCTGCTTAAAGGCAGCTCCATTTTGAAAGGTCTACATAATGTAATGAATAAATTACTTCTGAATACATTGAACATAGAATACGGCATGCTAAGTTTCAATGATATAGACTTACTTCCTTGGAAAACTGATCCTTGGATGAGCTTGTATCATTGTCATCTTCAACACTTGAAAAGGGAGTTTTCAGCGAGGTTTCTTCAGGAGAAATGTCCACAAAAGCTGCAAGTAGGAGCTGCATTACACTTTCTTATGGAGAACATTTCTAAAAATCCTATAAGCTAGTGCGCAGCATTAAATTGAGCAGTTGAAGGCTAGCGTTTCTTAAGGTATATTCAGTTTTGAAGTTATAGTAGTGCATGCATGAAGCATCAAGGAAAATTGGCGGTGCCTGCAATATAAACAGAGAAGGAAATAGAGGAAGATGCGGGAAGGCAGGAAAAAAGGAGAAAAAAGGAAAGAGAAATAGTAGGGAAATTCAATACTTCAGTAACCAGTTATCAGTCGTCAATCATCCAAATAGCAACCCTAAACAAGATATGGACTCACAACCAGAGATTTTGTCATACCATATTTCTTTGGCTCCTCCTTTATCTCCCTTTCCTCTAGAACATCAGTCTTCTTTTCCTTTCCAAAATCAGTGGTTGGAGCTACTTCTACTTTTGTAGCAGGAATATCTACTGTGATTGCAGGTTGAGAAGCCACTGGAGAAGATGAGGTTGAAGGCTGTGATGCTGGTGGCGGAGAAAATGGAAAAGGTGGCCTTGCAGAAAATGCAGGATTGAATTGGTTATCTGCTGTATTCATCTGCTCTGTCAATGATTTGAAAGCTTGTTGCATGGCATAATTCTGAAAGAAAAGATGAACATAGAGAAATAATTGACGATATATACACGATGTTTCTATTTGTAGCTATTTCTGAACAAACAGATGAAACTTGGACTGATAAAGACACATGTAAAATAGGATTAGAATGACTAGGTATGTTATCTGAAAGTTGATTGGTTGAATCAAAAAGAGTATATTGTTTGCCTGAAATGATAAATGCCAAGCCAAAATGTTGTATATATAGGGAAAGAACAATTATGCTGAAAATAAGCCAAAGAAGTTTAGAAATGAGTAGGTGAACAATAAAGCACATCACTAGTAGAATTGAGGTCAAAGGTAGAATGTTAGTTCCACTGGAAATACCCAGGTTGAGGTCAAAGGTTCTCTAATTTTCAAAAAGTAGATAACATAAGGTGAAGCTTTTTCACAACATCTCTAATCTAGGAAATGGCAAACACAACTTCTACAGAACTTAGAAGGTAGTAGGTACTGAAAAAACTAACTCACCAGAAGTTTCACTTATATGTGAAACCAAATTGACTCAAATCAAATTTAATTACTCAGATACTTGAAACTACAAATTAGAACAAATCATTGGCAAATTAGAAGCAAACATTGGGTTGAGATGTTGGAAAAAATTGAAAAAACTAATTTTCATCTACAAAATAAGGCACCAACCACCCAGTGACTGTCAGATAATGAAACTTGATTCAAAATGAGTAAAAGTAACTTAGTTTAATATTGGCATGAGAAACCTTCAATACAATTGAAAAGAAAAGGGAAATTGAGCAGGAGACCTCAATCTCCGAACAAATTGATTCTCACATACAAAAAATAAATGTTGTTTAATTTCTAAACACCATACAAAAGCTAATGACATTCCACAGATGCAACATTGTAGGATCTACAGAAGGTTGTCTTGCAAGAAAAGTGGGGTGAATTATACAAGCATCAAATTTGATGGATTAAACCCAACAAAAAGGTGAAAAGGGAAAAAATTTGCAAGCAGTATGAAACAGGGATAAGCATAGGATAGACTAAAGCTAAAAGGACACAGAGAGCAAAAAAGGCACACTTTTAAAAGAAAACAAAATAAGGAAAACAGCATCTGAGAATTAAGTGAGAGAGACTGAGACATGAAGAGAAAGGACTTGTCACTACCCTTTCAGAAAGAGACTGTAGAATGAAAAGAATAAGAAAAGGAAATCAACCTCATAACATCTATCACCACACCAAATTATACACATAAATAATTGGTCGAAAACTCCTTACAAACGGATACAAAGTGAACTAGAAACCTTTCAACCCCATCCCAACTAGAAGCCTTTCGAACCCAACCTTTACTTTAAATCCCAATTATATTGCACACTAATTGATAGGTAGTCAGGAAATACAAAAGGATTAAATGTTTGACTTAGCACAGATTTGGAGATATTAGCCTTGACGCTACAAAGCCCAAGTAATAGGAGTCAGTGACATACTGATTTCCACAGCTTAAAATTTACAACCTCCAAACTACGAATTTCTTTCCACAAATGCCACATCAAAAGGTGATTGCATTGAACTTCTATATAAATAAAAAACAACAAAGTCCTATAAGATCTAAAACTTTCCTCGTCATCATTCCATTGCATAGTTGCTCAGCGAGAAGACCAGAAAATTAAGCAAAACACAGACATTTGTATCTGGCAAGAGAGAAAAACTCACCTTTAACTTTGTAGCGACCTGTAGATTTCATAAAACAGAAAGTTAATACAACAGAGCACGAAACCAAAAAACCTTTAGTAGGCAGATAAAGTACATATAAAACAGTGGTTCTCACAAATGAAAAAATTGCTGATAACCCAACACCAACTCCAACCCAAAACAGTGGCGATCCTCTACAAACACAGAATCAGAAAACAAACATAAGCATCCATCCACGCATAAAAACTAAGAACACCCAATATAATTGGTGCACGCGCATGCCTAGCTAAAATGCTTAAAGCTCGAAAGACAATTCAATACATTTGCGAAGAAGGTGGCGACACTGGTGGTGGATTAACTCCAACCGAAGCCGTTTGTTTTCCAGTTGATGAAGAAATGCTAGCAAAATATTCACTCCCTAGTTTCCCTATAACACAAATTAACAAAAACCCAACAAACAAAATCATTAACAGAAACAAACTTGAACACAAAATCAAAAGAACCAACAAGTAAAATCACAAAAGGTAGAGGCTTTGGTGTCAAATTAGTGATCAGGTGACTGAAAGTTACCATTTTTTGAGGTTCTTCGGTGACCATGAGGGTTGGCAAGGGCAGAAATGGAAACTCTTGAAGCATGAGGGGCAGTTTTGGAAGTTCTGAAAGGTAAAGGAAGTGAAGGTCTGGTTGGGCATATGGAGAATTTAGGGGTGATAGGGTTTTTGAGGGAAGTTGGGTATCCCATAAATAATTTTGGTGAAGAAGAAGAAAGTAGAGCCAATCTAGGGTTTTCCATGTTTTGGATTTTGATTTCAAAAACCCTACAGCAGAGAATTAGAGCATGAAGAAGTAAGAGATGTGTGCAAGGAAGTTTTTTTGTGTCACCCTGGTCTTTGTGGTTTCAACGAAGAGAGGAAGAGACGAGCGGAACCGGCAGGGAAGCCAATTTTATTAAACCCGGCCCAGTTTGTCTTGAGCCCAGGCCAGTTTTAACTGTTTTGATCCAGAACCGAGATAATAGATAGTTTTTTTATCCATGCTACTGCTGTGAATTGAATAAAATATATAAAATAATTTAAAAACTTATTTTAGTTTAATTATCTATTTTACGATGTGAATCTATAAAAATATATGAAATTAAATATATAAAAAATTATTTAATCAAAAATTTTATATTTAACTATTTCTTATTTGTGTTTTTCATAATTTTTCATTTAGAAAGAGGATTCATCCTTGCTAATCCATGGACCATTAACTAAAAAGAAAATTAAAAAAATTTTTAGTATTTCATAAGATTGTGTTGAAAAACATAAATAAAAATTATTAAAAGCTTACATAGAATTGAACAAATAATTTTTTTTATTTAATGTTGATCGAATATCGGTTTTTAAAAAAATATGAATTTAATTTTTATATATTTATTTACAAAAAGAATGAATAATATTAAAATAAAAAACTATATTAATTTGAATCATTGAGTGTTAAGCCAAAACATTATTTTAATTATTTAATTTAAAATAAGTTAATTTTAAAATATTAAAAAACAAATAAATAAATAATAAATGCTTAATGTAGTAGTAGTTGCACGATTGATTTCTAAAAAAACAAAGATTCAATATTTTTTTATACATCATAACTATACTAAGAGAGTTTAGAGTTTTCAATCTAAAACAAAAAAAAAAAATACTATAAAAAGTTAACTTGCAATGAATATATTGACTAAATTTGAAGTTAATAGACTAAAATAAAAATTATTACAAATCTGATTTCAAATAATTTTGATTATATAAAGAAGAAACAAATTAATAAACATGTGAATTCTTTTTCTTTTTTTTCCTCCTTCTTAAACATGTTTTTTATTTCTATGTTATGCATGACTAGTCCTTAAGTATAGACCTCACGCACAGAGCAACCATTTGCTTTTTATTTTTCACATTTGACTTTCAACTATTAATTAATGAATTTGAGTTTTTTCTAAAAAAATGAGAAAAAAATTTGAAATACACTTTTGATTTAAAAATGTATTTTTGACAAATTATATATATTAATCATGCCGCTATAGTTTAAAAGTTATCCAAATCTATCTTTCAAAAGAAAAAATAATCATTTTCTAAAAATTTATTCTAAAATCCATACATATATAAAAATAAAATCAAAACTCGTTAGTAAATAAAATTTTAAATTAATTGGATGAGAATTTAAAAAAAAAAAGACATAAAGTAGTAAATTTTAAATAATAAAAATAATTAACAAAAAAACACTAAAACAAAATGAGATGAAATCATAATATAATCAAAGTTTGAAATTTAACAAAGAAAAAGAGAGAATTTAAAAAAAATGATAAATTAATGTAATAAATTTTAAATAATAAAAAATCAAGAAAAAATATTTAAAAAACACTTTTAATCTCAAAATGTATTTCAGAAAAATTATATATATTAATCATGCCACTATAATTTAAAAAAGTATCTAAATCTATTTTTCAAAAAAAATAATAATAATGTTCTAAAATTTTATTCCAAAATCCATACATATAAAAGAAATAAATCAAAACTGTCAAGTAAATATAATTTTAAAATAATTAGATGATAATTTTTAAAAAACGACAAATCTAAATTGTAAATTTTAAATAATAAAAATAATTAACAAAAAACACTAAAAAAAAAGGGGACAAAATCACAATATAATTAAAATTTGAAATTAAAAAAAAAAAAAAGAGAAGAGAATTTTTTAAAAAAATGAAAAATTAATGTAGTAAATTTTAAATAATATAAAAAACTAAGAAAAAATTATTTAAAATATACTCTTAATCTAAAAATGTATTTTAAACAAATTATATATATATATATATATATATATATATATATATATATATATATATATATATATATATATATATATATATATATATGTTACTATAATTTAAAAATGATCTAAATCTATTTTTCAAAAGAAAAAATAATCATGTTCTAAACCTTTAATCCAAAATCCATACATATAAAAAAATAAATGAAAACTCGTCAATAATAAGAATTTTAAATTAAGTCAATGAAAAATTTAAAAAAAAATGATAAATTGAAGTAGTAAACTTTAAATAATAAAAATAATTAACAAAAAAATACTAAAATAAAATTGGACCAAATCATAATATAATTAAAGTTTGAAATTGAAGAGAGAGAGAGAGGGGGAGAGAGAGAGAGATTTTTAAAAAATGACAAATTAAAATAGTACATTTTAAATAATAAAAATAATTAATAAATTAAAGATATAGAAAAATAAATCAAAACTGTCAATAAATAGAATTTTAAATCAAGTGAATGAGACTTTTAAAAAATAATGATAAATTAAAGTAGTAAACTTTAAACAATAAAAATAATTAACAAAAAAACACTAAAATAAAATAAGAATAAATCACAATATAATTAAAGTTTGAAATTGAAAAAAAAAGAATTGAAAAAAAAAGACAAATTAAAGTAGTACATTATAAATAATAAAAATAACTAACAAATTAAAGATTGAAATTAAAAAAAAGAGAGAGAGAGAGAGAGAATTTTAAAAATGACAAATTAAAATAGTAAATTTTAAATAATAAAAATAATTAACAAAAAATACTAAAACAAAATAGGATCAAATCACAATACAAAATAAGTTTAAAATTGAAAAAAAATATTTAGAAAATTTGAGAATCAAAGTGTTAAAAAAATGACATGAATAGTGAAAGAAATAGTGATTTATGAATGTGTAAATAGTATTTCAAATGGTAAAATAAATAGTAAAACTATGTTTTACTTTAGTTTGTTTTATAATGGTCGAGACATCTATGGTGCAAGAACCCACATACGTACGCCCATATTATTTTTTATTTTGGATAAATAAAAATGAACATAGACATGGTGTCAAACTTAAGGGTTTGCTTTCATGAAATAATTTTTTAACTTCTATTTCTAGTTCTTTTCTTATTTTAAAAATATTTTTGATTGAAAGTTAAGAAAATATGTTGACTAAGTACAAATTTTTGAAAATAAAAAAATAAGGATTTTGTTTGACTTACCTTAAGAATAATAATAAAAAAAGAGATTAGATGAACTAAACAAGGTTCAAAACAATGATTTCAATTTTTTTCAGAGAATTGGAGAATTAGAAAGCACGTGTTTTTAGAAAACAATTTTTATTTTTAATTAATAAACACGTTTTCTTTGGTTTTCTATTTCTCGTATATTTTAAAAAATAGAAAAAGTTGACAAATAAACTCAAACTTTTTACTTTCACATACATTTTGGAAGGATTTTTACCATGCTTGTGTTGGAACGGTACTTTGTGAATAAAACTAATCGAAAGTAGATGTATCACCTCTTTAAAAGAGTGAGTGGTGAAATCAAACTTTAGCTGAACGAGTCATCTCTTTTTATCAATTGAAACCAATTCTTTAAAAGTTTTCACATGGAGATTGGATCTTAATTTGATAGAGTAATCTATTTACTTTAAATTTGACTTCACTTTAAATTGATGTTAGCTACTTTTTGAACTCATACATAATTTATTATTTATGGATTGATAAATGGACATGACTTGAATTGAATTAAGATAGAACAACTGAAAATCTATACGAATGTCGCTATTGTGTTAAAAATCAAACTACAATAGTTAGTTGAACACAAAGATGTCAATGGTAGAGATATGTATCGATGAGGCTATGAACTTTAGAGAGATGCATGATGATGACTTGGTTTTTCTCATGGCAGAAAAAAATCTAGATGTCGATGGTGTATGATAGTTTAATTTGCATAAAGAATTTGCAAAACAAGTCTCCCTAATTGATGGGAGAACCCTCCAACGATTAAGTTAGTATGCGCAAAGGGAAGCAAGCCTAGTAAGACTGTAATGTGATTGTGTAGGTGTAAAGAGAATGATAAATAGTTGTACTGGTGGTTGAAATAGTGAATAAAAAATCCTTAATCATGGTTTTTTATTGTTTTAATTTTTCAAATTATATTATTTTGTTGCTAGTTTATTAATCTCGAACCTAAAATTCTTGTGTTGTGATTTCCAAAAGTTTTTCCTTTGATTTTTTTTTTATACAAAAAAATTTGAAAACCCTAAAAATCAAATATTCAAGGTGTTGTTTGTTTACCTTGATAGAACAAGTAAAAATAAAAATAAAAGTTTTATTTTTATTTTATAACTGTCTCGGTTAAAAAATAAAGTAACAATAAGAATCAATAGTAAGGTTGGAAATGAAAAGTGAGAATGAAAATAAAAATTAAACATATTTTTATTCTTTTATAAAAAACGTAGGATTAAAAACAACGAAAGAGAATAAAATTTTTACCTCGTAATAATGATATATTATTTATTTATCATGTATAGACTATTTTTACCACCTCCACCGCTGCCATTGATCGGTGATAATTTTTTTAAGCTATTGTTATTATCATTATTCCACTATTGTTTCACTTTAACAACCACCATCATTTTTATTATACCACTACTACCTTCACCATTGACAGTGGCAATTAAAAATTATTATTATTATTATTATCTCGTCATTACTCCTTCGTCACTATTATCACTTCCAAGTATACCATCACCGTTGTTCTTCTTCGATGCCTTCTTCTATGGTATTTTGTATCAATTTTTTTAAAATATATTAGTGATTCACTGTACTACTATTACTATCATCTCTTTATAACCCTTCTACTCATTCTCCTCCTACTGCACCACCACAACCATGATAACTATCAAAATTATCTTTATTATTTATACTACCGTTATAGATGATGAAATTATTCTTTAAGACATTATTTTTATTCGTATTAGCATCTTGATATTAAAAAAAAATTATTTCAATTCTTTATTACTACTTCAAATACAACATGAAAATGTAAATGTTATTTTAATTTTCATTAATATTTCTGCATTTTTATTTTGGATTTTTCATCTCTAATAAACAAACTACACCTAAATTTTTGTGTTAATTAAACAAGATTAGTATAAAAAAGAAGATTAGTATAAAAAAGAGAGTAGGAATTAAACTCTTTACCAATCATTTGAACACTCACCATTAACAGCTTTTACACTCCTAAAGTAATACTTTAGATTGTGTTTGATACCAGTAAAGTAAGATCACATACTTAAAGAGTAATGATTTTTCATTTAAATAAAGGCGAAGAAGAGGAATTTTTAAAGAGCTTAAAAATCATTGAAAACACATCAATGAAACTTTTTTTAAAAAAAGCAAATAATTTTTATTAATAAAAACCAACATCAACATACATCATATCAAGAGTGACTCCAAATTCAAGATTTAAGAAAATTAATTCGAAGATAAATAATAAAGATGAGAAATGATTAGGCACTTTCGATGCATTGTCTGCGTAAGAGCAGAATCAACAGTTATAACTATTTATGGCATGAGTCCATTTTTATCTGAGCAAGAGAGCGATTTCGGCCCATGGCCCATTAAAATAGAATAATGGGCCTTAGCCGTCACAAACCCAGAAACAAAGGCAAGCACCACGTAATAAACGCGTAAACTTGCTCTCCAATCTTTCCTTTCATTTCCTCTATAAACACACCGCCTTCCTCGACACAGACCCCTCGATCTCTCAATAAACCAAGAAAATCCCACAAAAAGCCCTAGAAAATATCAGTCCCCAATAATATTCCCCCTCAAAACCCTAAATCCCCAACTTCTCTCCCTGCTTCTCTCTCTAGATCTCCTCTCAGATCTTTGATTCTCTCCAGGTATTCTCCCTTTTCTCTCTTGTGTTGTGTTTTAGGGTTTCGAATTTTATAGGGATTTGGATTTGTGTTTGTTGGCTAAGTTACTGACTTAGTTGTTTTTATTCTTTTACGGATTTGATTTTTTTTTTTTTTGGGGTTTTGGGTTCTGTTCTATTTCTGCTTTTTCCTGGAAGGAATTAGGGTTTGGAACTTTTGGAGACTTGTGGTTATTTAGGCGCCGTTTTTTTTTCGATTTGAAAGTATGTTTTTATTTTATAATTATTTTTGGAAAAATTTTAGATTCGTGACCGCAGCAATTAGGGCTTTTTTCCCCTTCATTCATGATCGGAATCTAACTATTCTTTATGTCCATCGAGACATCTTTGATAGCAATTGTAAATCTTATTAAGGGGAGGGATGACTTGAACAATTTGTATTGTTGTTTTTTCTTTTGGTCCTTTCTTGTTTATTTTTCTGTGTTACTGAATGCAAGAGTGTGTCTTTTAAGCGACTGTTGGTGAATGATGAGTAAGCATGTATTATTTTTTATGCCAATGTCTTGACACTGATCATTGCACCGTTTCTTACCTGTGTCTGCACATTGCAGGTTTACTTACCACTCATTTGCCCTAAAAAGATTTTTCTGTTGCTGAAATTTCAATGGCTGCAACTGTGGATATGTCTCTTGATGACATTATAAAGAAAAACAGAGAGAGAGGTAGAGGACGAGGTAGGGCCAGCCGTGGCCGTGGAACTGGTAGGCCGTTTAACAGTGGCCGTGGAACTGGTAGGCCGTTTAACAGTGGCCGTGGATCTGGTAGGCCGTTTAACAGTGGAAGGATGGCTGGGGCAGTTCGTAGAGGCCCTCTCTCAGTGAATGCTCGGCCATCAAAATACACAATTGCTAAGGCAAGCTCAAAACTGTGGATGGTATATGCATATGATTCAGAACCTTCTAGGATTATGAAATCCAATGCAAAGGGATCTCTATTATGCTCTAGAAACTAGAAAGTCAAAATACAGTGGATCTTAATATTAATTTGTTCGTGGAGAAGCTCATTTTGGCCTCATCCACTAAAAGTATTACAGCTCGTTGCATTCATATCATTATGTTGGGGATTTAGTTGTATTTGTGGGTTATTGGGGCTATATACTGGTGATTTTGGCACAGATCTGATATGACATAAGTCTTCAGAAGTTTTTCTGGTCCATATTCAGTTATTATGCTACTTCCTAGCATTTTATTCCGGGCTTCATTAGATGAATATTCTGGAATGGAGATCACACCAGTAGCATAACGTCAACAATTACACCTCTATATAATCCATATTATATAGTTGTAGCATTTGATGTATCACTTGTTTAGACGGAAAGTTTATGATGGATCTTCTTGCTATGTGCGGAATTTGTTCGGTGCGAGATCTCATCTCTCCTAGTTCATGGTGTTTTTGCAAAGGAGTTCCTTCGCTTAACTTCAGAACTGGAGCTCTCACCTATATCAAAGCATTGGGTTTCTCATGCAGTGGGTTGAATCCCATACTCCCATCTTCCATCTATTAATTCAACCTCCTGAAGTTTTGGACACATGGTTGCTTGAGCTTTTTACTAAACTGCAGTTTCTTTTTTATCTTTTGGAAAATTCCTCAACTGAGATTGATATTGAAGATGGTCATATTGTTATGGAAATAAGCTGACGTGTTCTATTTGATGTCATCAGCCTTCTCGAAGAATTAGGAGTTTGCCTTGGCACCATGATTTGCTTGAGGATAGCATTAGAGCGGCAGGGATTACAGGATTAGAAGTTGGAACCAAGTTGTATGTTTCGAACTTGGATTATGGCGTGACCAATGAAGACATAAGGGTACAACTTAAGCTATATGTTTTCATCATAGATCCTTTGTGTGCTGTAATGGATTTCTAAACTAAGTTTTCCGGGAACCTCAGGAGCTCTTTGCAGAGATTGGAGATCTGAAACGTTTTGCTGTTCACTATGACAAAAATGGTCGCCCAAGTGTAAGTTATATTTCCTAATATCTGAACTTATTGATGTTAAGTGCCACTACAATTTTTTAGGAGTGTAATTGTTAGCTCCATGATTGATAAAAGGGTAATGATTGCTGTCCTTTGTTCCCCACCAAAAGCATTCTTAGTGTTTTTAAGAAAAATAATATTGTTATGTCTTTGGTTAGACTCAAACTGTAAAATATCTCCTTTGATGCATGTGCCTTTTCACCTCAGCCCGTTGGTTCCTTACTCACACTTCTGCTTGCACTTTTGACACTGGTTCACTGCAGAGCCTTTTATTGGTGACCCTTCTTTTCCTTGGTTATGGAGTTAGTGCCTTCCATGAGCTAGTTGCATAGATTTTTTTAAGTGGGCTGGTTTGTGAACATGCCCTTGAAATGAGATGATTGCCTTACACGCTACTGAAAAGATCTGTTTCCATAAATAAATAGATATGTACTGCTCTCTTGTGCTTCATGTGTGTTTAAGCATGTTAGTCATATAGGTTATTCTCCATTAAGGTGATTGCTTTGTTTAAACTTGTCATTGTCTGTTGCAGTTTTGGTTTCCAAGTCTTTTCTCCGTATTGGAATTTCTAACTTTGATAGCTTGGTGACAGGGCTCGGCTGAAGTTATGTATACCAGAAGAAGCGATGCGTTTTCCGCTCTTAAGAAGTATAACAATGTACTGTTAGATGGAAAGCCTATGAAGATTGAGATTGTGGGTACCAATCCAGAGGTGCCTATTTCCGCTCGAGTGAATGTTACTGGAGCAAATGGAAAGAAGAGGAGAACTGTTGTTATGACGTATGTGGTTTTGTTTATTGACTTTCTTTTATTTATTTATTGATGAGCTGTGTTCGGAATTAGTTGCATTCTCTATCTGAATCTACCAATCCATGGGAAGTGAGGGCTTTGGTGGTTACCTATCAAATGGTTTTGCAAGTTACAGTTCCTGAAGCTCGCTATAGAACATTTCAACAGTTTCATGGGTAGCAAGCTTCCCTTGTGATTGAAGCTGAAATCTTGATGAATATGGTTTTTATCCATTGTAGTTCTGTTGCTTTGGGTAGTTTTTGGAGGAGGTTGCAAGCTGTGTGATGTGACAGTTCTTGTAGTCTGGGTTGTAGTTTGATTTTCTTAAACAATTTAGTTGTGGCTGTTGAATGAATAAGAACTGATAGCTTCAGCTTATTAATGAGAAAATTGGCTTCTATGCATGTACGGGTCTCCCAGCTGTTTGGCTGGAGTCCGTAAAGCATCTTTCATGTTATGCCTCTTTTCATGTTTGGAGGTGTGTTGGAAAAGCATTGGTTAGCAAGCTTTTGCCTGACGGTGTTGATTGTATTTTCGGTAGACATCCATTGATAGATTGAAAATTATGCAGGCCTGGATCAGCTCCTGGAAGAGGCGCACCTGTGAATAATCGTGGTTCTGGGTAAGCTTTTTGGCTTGTAATTGTGGTTGTTTGGCTTGTTGATTTGATTCCTTTGACCGACTTGTTTTGGAGAACTGAGCTGATCTAAACTAAAATTAGTCTAGGATTCTTTATTTTAGGTTGCTTAAAATTGTTTTATTTCCTCTACCCTGCCATGGCAAACCTTTTTTTTTTTTTTGGAAGATCAGCATCTTTAATGTTCTGTTGTGGATTTTTTTTTATAGACTTGCAAATAATAATGTGATGTATGTGTTGCTGGATCTGTGCAGTCAGAGCCGTCGTGGGGGTGGGGGTCTGAGGAATGGTGTGAGGAATGGTCGTGGTCGTGCTCCGGGCCGAGGACGTGGACGTGGCAAGATGCAACCTGTTGATAAGTCTGCAGATGATCTGGATAAGGAATTGGAAACCTATCATGCTGAAGCCATGCAAACTTAATTTTGAAAGTTGTTCTCAGCTAGACATAATAGCATCAGCTGGTGTTTATCTTTGTTTGATCCACAAACTTATGGTAATTACAGTGATGGTAGTTATTCCCTTTTTTGCTTAGTAACTTTAACAGTAGATTTGGAAGCTTTATTGTAAATGAGAATGATGGTTTTCCTTTTTCGACTCACAATCGCTTTGCATACTTTGTAACTTTTGAATTTTTTTGATTTGTATGTGTACTGTTATGAAGAGTCTAATATGATAGTGCTACTTGCATCCTTGTTTTATGTGATGTTTCACATTCAAGAGTTTGGTATCATAATGGTCTAGGTTGAAAGTCGAGCTTGGAAATAATTTTTATCTTCTTAGTTTGATCTCTTGGATGGAGTTGAATGGTACTCACTGGTTGCCTAAGTTATGCTGCTGGCGTAGCAAAATTATTTTATTTTTTTATTTAATTAATATTTTCTTATGTTTTTTTTTTAATAATTTTTTTTACTTAAAGAGATTGGACGACGCGTAGGTCGCTCGAAGGGGGGTAGCCATCCCTCTCTCTCTTCCTTCCTACAAATAAAATTCGAGATCAAAACGAAAATTTCTAAACAAATAAGAAACCAAAGTGTAAAAAGTTTGACAAACTTGTTTTAAATAGTAAAAAACGCAGCATAGTTGAGTGTGAGTAAACCGTATGAATAGATGTACTTAAACATTGAAAAAGAATAGTAATTTACACTGTATTTTGTGTGTGCTAGAGAGAAACGGTGAGATCAATCTTCATTACGTTGATCAGAAACACTTGCTCGTGTTTGAAAATGAAGTCTTCATGCTTGTGCGTGTTTTAAGTTTATGAAACATTAAACAAGCTAATCAACACCCCATCTGATGCACCGACACTCGTTCCTTTGGTTGTTGAGAAGACATGCGTGCTTATGATTATGAAGGCTTACTTGCGTGAACGATTGATAACTTCTTTAATTATCCAATTATTTATAAAATCGTTTAAGACCGTCTTTTTGGCTCTCTGTTTTTTAATAAGGTTTTACTATTATGTTTTAAAACAAAAAACATAGAAAGAATTTTTTTTTTTTTTTTTTGAGATAAAAGGTTGTGTAATTTATTTAAAATATAAAAATAACATTAAATTAAGAAAATAAAAAATTGAAAAAAAAAATATGAAAAGATTGATAAGAAAATAAGAGATTTTATGGAATAAAAATAAGATTAAATTAAGCATATTAATACTAATTAAATGATTAAATAATAGTTTTAGAAATGAGAGGGACTTATTTATAATTTACTCTGTTTTGATTCTTTTTTTTTTTTTTTTGACTTGTATTACCCATGATTTTTTATTTTAATGATAAAAGTATTTTTATGTTTTCAAGTCATTTATTTTATTTTCTTTAATAGAAACCTTAAAGTTATGTTCTTAATCGAAATTTTATTTCAAACAACACAGCAACGCCACATCATTTCATTACTAAATAGTTTAATGTATTTAATATTACAGAATGTGGAAATGGGTGATACTTTGATGAACATGACTGCCTGAATTTTAAATCATAACAACGTGGTAGAATGAGTTTATTTAATAATTTCCCCATTTTGTGCACCATTCATGCCCAAGCAGTACGATTCTTCAGACGACTGCCCTTCATTCCAGTTGGCCTTCAGGTTATATATTCTTGTTCCGAGAAACTGAGAGATGTCAAACAAAAAAACTTGAATTCTTCAAAGCTTTCGCTTCCCATTAAAGGAAGATTATGTGATTAACAAGTCACCTATTACTTGCTCATGCAATGCTTTAAAGGATGAGTGAGATAGATGCATGAAATATTCGACTTACAAGTTCATTTTCTATGACAACCGACGAGTAAGAGTGCTGAGGAGAACCTGGAACAAATTTCAAAGCTCAGGCTGATGTAACATTTGCGCAAGGGTTTCTTCCTCTTTAAGGTCTCACTTATCAGTGAATGACGAGTAGCATGAACAAAATCAGAAACATAGCCCCCCGATATGACAAAAAACCAGAGAGATATTATACGGAAGAAGGGTTGGCGGATATGTTCCCCATTTTCTCTCATAGGTGCAAACCTGGGGTTGTATGGCATCATAGCAGGATTTTTACACAAGATATACAAACTTTCAGTTTACTAAAAGGTCGAATGAAAGAATGAAGCGTATTCACGAAAATTGAACAGAAATGTTGCTATTTGGGGCAGTTAGATCTTTGTTTATAACAAGGTGTCCTGACTCGCCCTTCTTGAAAAGTTTTTTAACCACTTCATCCCAGTTAGTCGTTCCGCCACTGGAGGTAGACTTGGTTTTTGAGGCTTGTTCACCCTCCGACTGGGAACATGCCGTCCCATTATCCTTGCTGGGTTCTGCATTAGGGGTGGCCACCGCATGAGGAATATTTAAACTCACTGCTCTTTCCAATGCATCCCTGTGTTCTTGTTCAATTGTCTGCATCCTTTCAAATTTCTGTACTTTCGGAGGAGTTGTGATGGTTTCAGAACTGATTTCCTTCATTTTCTGTCGAAAATCAATACTGTGACTGTCAGTAAACTATTCAACAGAGAGAGAGGGAAAAAAAAGTCGAGCCCTGGATATTAAAGGGCAAGAGAAACATTTCTCCCCTCTCATGCTACTTGTTCAATTGGACTGATGAAACAAAGAGGGATTGGAAATGCCAATGCCATGTGGGGAAAGAAGCATATCCCTGACTTGACTAAATGGGGAGAATGATAGGAAGGTCTGTTCCCAAGGAGAAAAAATGTTTCAAAATAAATAAATAAAATAAAATCAAAGTTGCATAAAACAAGCAGAAAATACAGTTGATATGCGAAGTTGTGCGTATAAGCTGTGGTGAGCATATGTGCATCCGTGAGGGAGAAAGAAAGAGAGACAAAATACATCAGCAGATGGTTGAGATGCTCAAACCAGATGACCTTTGATTGGGAAAAAAGTGAGCATGCACTCTCACTCAATGGCTAAATACTAGGTAGAAAAGCATTTGCAGTACGATACTAAAAAGTAAAACTATTTATTTTCTTTTTTTCATAAAACAATAGTGAAGAGACTGAGCTTTTACTGCTCCAAATTACAAGATAAATTGTAAATGAAATGGAGCAGAAGCAGTTTATCAAAAGGAGAAAGCTTACCTCCAAGGCTTTCTCTGATTCCCTTTCTATCCAAATAATTCCATGATCAGATGTGGCATTACATGACAAGACAATGTGTTCAAATCTTCCATCTACGGGAATAGCAGTTCTGACTTCCGGAGGAAACCTCCCACATCTGCGACAGCATGAATAAGGACTTAGTGGAAATGCACAATAATTCTCAGTAAGCATTATACTACCAAAGCTCTCAAGGAAGAGATGATCTTCCGATAATCAAACACCAATTTAGGGAGTATATAGTTAGTTCAAAGTCAACTTCAACCCAAGCATGATATGAGGTTCACTATATAAACAAAAAGAGGCTCACAAAATTGGATACCGAACGATTGAATTGCATTCTATCATGTTACAATCAATAAACCAGGCAATAAGGAGTGGATTTTAAGTCTATGAAAGAACATCCAGAAGGAGACAATCTAAAGGGCAGTTTGTGTGTGACCACGTTATTGAGACAGAAAGAATAAGGAGGGGTGACTAACAATAGAAGATTATAGTTTCTAAGGTTAAGGCCTAAATTTCCAATGACATGACGCCAAAAGCTAACAATGGTCTATATCTTTTGATCAAAATTACAAGTTACGCATGTGACTTCTTTGCAATCACAGATTTGCAAGTTTCAAACAATCCTTGGGGTAGTGTTAGAGTAGCACATTCTGTTAAGAGAGCTCATAAATTATACATTACCTGCAAAATCTTCTCTCTACAATATGATACATTCGTCCAGGAGCATAGAGTCTTCTTGGATCTCTAAGCTTTCTACCTTCTGGAATGAAGGTATCTCTCAAGCAAACCACAAACAACAAGCAGGGCAAGCTGTCCAAAGGATCAACACCTGGTTTAAGAGATAATAATAGTAACTCACTCCACCAAGTTTATGAGGGTGAGGATTTGTATGACAAAATGAAAAGCACAGATAGCATCTATGATGCCATGGACACAAGAATACCAACCAGAAAATTGATTTAAAGATATCTTCCAATGGAGTAGCAGTTCTTGGCAAGAAATCATCCTGGATAAGAACAATAAGTTTACATCACGGTCATGCATTTAACACTAAAAAAGAGTGACCTCAAGTAAATTAAGACACTATTATGTTCAATAAATACTATGAAACATCAAGTAGGCATCTAAATTACTCTCCGAGAAATCTGGTTGATTGAGACATACACACTCTAAGAGGAGACAAAGTACCAACCACGCCAATCAAGTTATCATGCCCTAAAGTTGCCCATCATACAATATCAAACACAGATCAATAGCTTCTAGAATAAACAGGAGTTTAAACTATGCGAGCACCATAGCTAAAATGAAGTTTCCTACACCTATTAACACAACATTTACCGCAAAAGTTCCATAATCACCAGATAAGTATTAATTCCCTACAAATAGTCAACCGTGAAAATAAGAAATAGGCAAAAAAAATCAAACTTCCACAAATTAGCCACAGAACACATGAAACAGTCAAAACTAGTTGCTTTCATTCGCATCACAAATCAATGAACACCAAATAACACAAATCATCAAACAAAACTCACCTGCAAAATTATAGACTGAATAACATCAGCATACTTGACAGCCAAATTCAGTGACATACACCTCGCTGGAGCCATGGCATAACACCTAATCTTCTCTCTAGGAACCCCACCTAACTTATCTCTGTGATTAACCACAATAATAGTTAACAAAGACGCTACACCAGACCCTAAAGAATGTCCAGCAAAAACCATATCATAATTTTTTCCATTCTCCTCCCACAACCTCTTCAATGTCTCCCCTTCTTCATTCAACAACCAAACAGCAGATTTCAACAACCCATGATGCACAAAACCTCCATCAAACATCTGCATTCCTAACCTATTATCCAACAACGTTTTATAATCACTCTCTTTGTACAAATTCAATCCTCGAACCGCCAAAACAATCTCTTGATGATCATGATCTATGTAAATTATATAAGGAGGGGCACGCCCTTGTGTTTGCTCATAAGTTACACGCTTGAAAACCCAATCAGGGTTTAAGCGGTAACCATGTTGAGGAATGTAATGAGGGTTGTGAAGGTCAGGTTCGTAGACAGCAAGGATTAAACGACAAATACGAGGGACTGGTTCAAACTCTTCTGGGGTTGCTAATGTCCAGTTGGCACTGTCATTAGCACCAATGTATGTGCAACGTTTCCAGGCCCACCGACCGAAGCCTAATATAACTACCGATTCTACTCCACAACAGAATGACATCTTTTTGGGATGGTTTTGATTTTAGAGAGGGATTTGCGAAGTGGGTTTTTATATGTTTGGAAAAGAGTGGAGCTTTCGAGAGAAAGGTGTGATCTTGGGACAGGTGAATTAGAGAGATGGAGAGGTTTTGAATAGAAAGGAGAGAGCTTTTTGAGAGGCAAATAGCTGGAATTAACAGAGATTGTGAGAAAGTTTAAAATTCGAGAAGAAGTTTTTTTGAGAAGATTCTTGAATTTTCTGAGAAGATTTTGGAGAGAGAGAGAGAGAGAGAGAGAGAGGGAGGAAGGAAAAAGGAAAAAATGCAGAGTAAACTGGGTTTGAGAAAAGAAAGTTTCAAGAAGAAGAGAGAGCGAGAGGGTGATGATGGGAAAGGTTTAGAATCATTGGAAACAAGGTTTAGTATAATATAACTTCACATGAAAACGAAAGTTTAGTGTTAGACATGGAAAGAAAAAATGGACACCATTTTAGAGAGAGAGAGAGAGAGAGAGAGAGAGAGAGGAGGGAGTGGAGCAAGAAAGGGATGTTAAAAGGAAGAGGACGGTGGAGAATGTGATAGAGAAAAAATGGGCAAAGGTGGCATTTTGTGCTTTCTTTTAAAATTGTTGTATGTATTATTTGCTCTAGTGTGAAGGATAAGGAAGTACTGTGAACTGTGAAGATTCTGGGTGCTTGTCTTGAGGTTTGGGACACAACAACAGCAAGGATCTGAAGGGTGGTCAATGGTTTTAAATCTATTTATTTATACTTGCTCTTTGTTGAGTTTTCGATAAGCTTTATTGCATGTTAGGGTAGGAGGTGTAAAAATGGAGAATAAATGCTAGTTGTTTGCACTTTTGTGCCTGTGAAATTGAAGAAGTTTTAAATGAGAAGAGATTACCATTGATAGCAGGATAATGGAAAGAAGAAAGAGACGTTTGATATTCTTCTTTCATAAATTTTCTTGATTGTTTTGACTATTAGGTTTCTTGATTTTATTACTTCTACCAATTGGGAAATAATCGTACGTACTTCAAACGTTTTTTTATTGTTGTGCGGTTCAAAATGATTGCACGGTCTAAACATTTAAATCATATATTTTATTACAATACCATGTATTTTACAGTAATATTCCCAATTAAATTCTATGGGCAAGAGATCTAAAATTAAAAAGAGATATTTTTTTAATCTCTAAATATCTCAAATCAAAAAATCCAGACTAATAATTCGTTGCTCGATTAGATACATAAGACGGACATAACTATTTAAATAATTTTCTACATACACAAAGATTCGAAATTGAGATCACTTAAATTAACAATTAAAACATTTTCTATTCAAAACAACCTTTTTGGATCAAAAGAGATATTTTTTAAAAATATGGATAAAAAATAATGACATAACTTATCAATTGATGACATTCTAATATATATAATTAAACATGATAATTTTTTTGAAATTAAGTTAATATTATTTATCGTAATTATTTACTTAACATCAATCAAATGAGAATATTATTTTGTTTTTATTGATATGGGGAGTAAAAGAGAATTTAGAGATGTGTTTGGTTGGAGAATTTAGAGATGAGTTTGGTTGTCTAAAAAGAGAACTCCCAATTAAACTTCTTTTTTTTTAAACTTATTTAGGAGACAAAATTCAAGATTTGAGACCTCATTCTTCTTGATTTTAATGGATTCATGCTATTGGTCAAACACGTAACAAGCCACATGCCGAATTGATGGATGAAATAATATAGTACTGTATTTTAAAAATAAATCCGATCGATTAATTATCTTCACGAACTAAAATTTAATTCAAGAACTAGTAATTAATTCTTTCATTGTACGGCAATGCAATATTTTATCATCCGACAAAGTTTAAATTCCACCTGCAGCCAATAGTTAATGATGAAGAATTCATTAATAAATTATCTTGTAATTTTTTAACTATTTATATTCCACGTTAGAAATAACAATAATCATATTTGAAACTTGATTGATAAGATTTAATCATTCTCAATAAGTATAATTTTAGTATTCGAATCTTGTATATTGATAAAAAATTCATCTGGAATCCTACTCGTTTTTTACTAAACTAACAATTATTGGTTCAATTATCATGTTATAAAATTGGTATTAATTAAAATAATATTTGTGACAAACTAACTATAAAAATTCATTTGATAAACTAATATAATCGATAAGATTTAATCATTCTCAACAAATACGATTTTAGTATTTGAACCTTGTATATTGGTAAAAAATTCGTCCGAGATCCTATTTATTTTTTTACTAAACTAACAACTTATTGATTCAATTATGCTGTTATAAAATTGGTATTAATTAAAATAATATTTGTGACAAACTAACTATGAGAATTTAATCAAAATCAAGCAATGCCCTAGTTGCCTTGTTGGGGAGAGCAATGAGGTCTCAATTGGATTGACTTGTGAGGAAGGTATTAAATTAAATGTTTTTCCTCTTTGTTTCTGCCATCCCCTCCAAAATTAAATAGCCATTCAATGTGAAGATTGCCAAGTACAGCAATTCTTTGCCCTCAACGAAGAAATGTGCACCAAATCTATAAATTTTGGTAAATGCATAAAACTTGCATTCATGGGTTTGCCAAGGAATAAACTATAAATTAGTCTTCTTATTTTCAAAAAACAAATTAATTAATTAATATTTTAAAAAAATTAATATTTTTAATCACTATTGATTATGCTTAATTTAAAATTATTTTATTTTTTTTAAAAATATTTTTCATCATCTCTTTCATATTTTTTTTATTTCTTAAAACAAAAAATCAAAATGAATTAAAAAAGAAAAAAAATAAAGTTACAAAAAAATTTAAACATATAAGAATTAAATAATTAATTTTAAAACGAGAAAAAAATATTTATTTATTTATTTATTTCTCCATACAAAATAGACTAATTTGTAATTTACTCGTTTGCCAACCAAAAAAACAAAAAACATGTTTTTTTCATCCAAACCTTAATGACGTAACACACATCCAACAAAGAATCTGTCCCCTTATGGTCCCAGGTCAAAAGCATGAAGAAACGCAAAGGATATGCAAAAAGACCAAAAAGGCCAGAGATGCCAGCCCTTGAATTGTCCAGCTGTAACTTTTCTACCGTCCACTGATTTTTTTAAACTTTAATTTTCTATACTATCCATGTGAAATTCATCCATAGTTTATTGGACAGAGACAAAACACGCAAATAAAAACAAGAAATGGAACAAGAAAGAAGAGCAGCTCAACAACTTCCAAACCCTATCCGTTTAAAAGACACATGTAAATCCATTTTTCCACAAAAAATTGGTTTCTAAGAATCTCAGCTAACCTAAATAAATAAATTATCATTTTGGAGTATGACAGATAGTGTGGATTAGCTATTGTTTTTTGATTGGTTTAAGTACCTTATAGTTTGATTCATCTCTTCCATTTGATCAGAAATATATATATATATATATATATATATATATATATTTTATACTAATTAGCAAATACCAAAAACTAAATTTTCAAACATTACATATATGATGCGGTTAAAATTAACTTTTTATCTTTGTTTTAGCAGTCGGAATAACTTTCTATTGTAACGAACATTAAGTCCGACCTTTTTTTCTAACACTAACAACTAATCACTAACTCATATCAATAAAAAAATATATTTTAATTAAAGACGAGTTTAAAAAATGTTAGATATAGAAATGACAATAGGTTGAACATAAAATAGTTATTCGTTTTACCCGTCTCAATAAATACCTATTAATAAGAATATTCAATAGGTATTAGAGTGAGTAATGGTAATATATATATATATATATATATATATATATATATATATATATATATATATGATTTTAGGATATGAGTACCCACTTTTTACCTTGTTAATACTCACTAGTTTATTTACAGTTTTTTATTAACATGCGGGGCCTAATTGCATAAAATTTAAAACTTAAGGATCAAAATATTTTTAAAAAAAACTTTGAGGATCAAAAAAGCTTATAAATAAATTACCAAAATGCAAAAAAAAAAAATTAAGGAAATTTTTTTAAAAAAATATAAAGACTAAAATAAATATTTTTGATAAATTAATTTTAAAGGATATTAAATAGACAGGTAAACTAATATGAGTTGAATTTGAACTATGTAAAGATGTATATGATAATTTTTAAATGAATAATGAGCAGGATATTCTTTTGATGGATATGACAAAAAATTAAATTAATGGACTTGATACCTGGTTATTGCCATCCTTAGATACATGTTTAGGTTAAAATTCTCATTTTGTTGTAGGATTTTCTAAACAATTTACTAGTAAGATGCTTGTAGGATTTTCATTGATTTTGAATTGAATCATAGGTTTCTCGTATTAAAAGAAAGAAAGAAAAAGACATTAAAATTGTCAATATAAACCGACCAAAAAGAGAGAGAGAAGACAGTTGAATGTTCCAAAAACACTCTCTTTTCCATTAAGTTATATACTTGTGAGTTGGATTTCGTCAATGCGCGTCAACGACGTGTCTTTCCCGATTAGGAATTACTCATTTTTTCAGGTAATCTTAGGCCGGGCGAGAATATCTTTAAAAAGTGTAAATTTATGGAACTCTTTCTGTTCCTTAATGATTCATACGCGTGGCGCTGGAAGAATTCTACTATTTTTTTTTCTTGACTTTTTACACGTATTACAAAAATTATTAATTATTGTATTATATTAATATATTTTATTTATATTTTAAAACTATTTAAAAAAAATTATTTGAATATTTTTTTATAAAATAGATTTTAATTATGAATATATATATTTTTTAAAAAAATACATCACTTAAAATTTTGATTAGATAAACATTTTAACAAATATATAAATAAAAATATAAATCATCTATTTGAAATAGAATGAATACTCACACTTAGACTTAAGAGATTACCATTTCTCTAACTTATTGATTTAACAAAATTAATTTCAATAGTCAAAAAGTTCTTGAAATATCAAGATTTTGAATTTG